CATCACGCACTTAAGAAGAAAAAAGTCCTAAACATGGAGGTCCCGCTGAATCGGCCTCAGATCTTCGAGCTAACGCTGCTTTCTGCACTGACAAATTTGACTGACAGCCACCGTATGAACATAAAACAATGCTCAAAGCAGAATATCAACTCTCACTCACCTTTATATCGCTCGACTTGGCGTTTTTCTAAGTATAATTTCCAAATATTCGCATTAAACATGAATAAATCAAGACGTATACGCACTGGTTCAGCTTCTCCGTCTTGAGTCACGCGGAGGCGAGCGGAGGATTAGACCAGTTACGAGGATCGAATTTCAAAGGACGCCGCTTTGAAAAGAATGCTGCGATCTGATTGGACGAGAGAGATAATTGATGTCCCGTTTCTACTCCTTCTCATTATAACTTCTTGCATAGCCTAACTGAACACAATCACTTATTGATTATTCTGACTCATAAATTGGTGGGAAAAAGAAACCATATGTTATTCATTAGGAAATAACAGTCTCGTCTTTCAGACAAGTCACTTGTAGCAAGGCCTTAATGTTAAAAAGAAAATTTATGTTAATCAGCTAAGTATGCAGAGAATGATATCATACAAGAACAATATATAAAGGCATGTTAATCATAAGTGTTATCAGCATTCATTACAGTGATATCAATCAGCATTGAGAAGAAAGGAAGTAATAAATATTCATGTGAGGTTGAATGTGCAGTATAAGTAATGGATATAAACATATGTGAAGATTTTTTCGTTATGGTCCATATGATATGTCAAAATCAGTATGATGTGCTATGAATACACAGTAAGAATTGTACATCACACAAGTACCCAGTTTTGATCATTAAGCTGTTCCCATAATAAGCAGTATTGAATTATTTGCTAATGGCTTACTCACAGCATACTTAACAACTTGCCAGCTCTTCAAATTAGGTGTCCTCTCAAGGTGCTTTATATACATTTCCTGATGAATACAACTATAAACTAAAATAACAAAAATTATTAAATGAAAACAAGTGATACCAACCACCTCGGTACAACCCAAATATCTTCTTTGAGTTTATTTTTGATAATTGGTACTAGACTATCAGTAATGTCTTAAGTAAATAGATTCAAAAACATTCGTGGCATGTGTTGTGTACAATGTCCTAACATTGGCATCTAAAGTTAAGACAGTTAAAAAAGATTATTAGAAACTTAAAAATTGTAGAAAGATGTTGATTGATGGTGATCCTTGCTATGCAATGTTGGGGTTTTCATGAAGCATTTACCTGGTCTGAAATTATTTCTGGTAGAACTGATAAGACCATGGTCTTGCTAAGCTGTCTGATAACAAGGATCACCTTGTCTTAAGACTTATATTGGTCCTTGACTCCAATGATAATTGCAGCACTATCATAAGCTGTTACGGTAATTACTAAACATTTTCAAACACCTCACTTTTTCAAGATTTATAATTTTAGGTGCCCAACAGATTAAACTTTCTGACATGAAGCGAACTGCTTTTTCAAAACTTGAGAATCAACATTTTTAAGCATTATGAACAAAACATTTTTGGGGAGAAGTTATGAATATAATACTCTAATTATATTGTTCCAATTTAACTTAGGTATTTTTTCTTATCCTGTCTTTTACATGAGATGATAATTACATGATAAATATAATTTCCTAAATAGGTGTTTTAAGTAGCAAGAAGTATGATACGTACTGATAAGATATACAATGCAATTTCTGTATGAACTTGGATGGCTGTATAAGCATTTACTCCATTAAGAGCTCCAAAATGTAATAGATCACACAGGTTCAATAAGTCTTTACATCCTCTGCCCCCCCCCCCCTTTAAAAAAAAATGAAAAATGTTTTTTTTTTTTTTTTTTTTTTTTTTTTTTTTTTTTTTAGTATGAGATCTGTTCCTGCACTCATTATTTCTATTTAATCTCATACTGGCCAAAGGCATTACAGTATCAGTTTTGGATTGATATATTTTTCTTTAGTAAGTATGTCTAGCCATTTGCGAAATTTTTATCCCAGGGCATAAATAGTGGTCTTTAATATCACAAGAAAATCATCTCTGTTGATGTCGTTTTAGATGGTTTGATGCTCAGTGGGGAGAAGTTATTAGCTGCAGTGAAGAAGGCTTTGCTGACTGATGTTGAGATCCAGGCTCTGATTGATGTCCTTCTTAACAGACAGCAGGGCAATGAACAGTGGACCAAGGTACAGAGACTATTGTGTAATTCTGTGGATTTTGATCAGTGTCTGATATGTGCATAGTAATAGTAATGTTCTGGTACTGTATTTGATATCAAGGCCAATTGGTTATTAATGTTGGCTGAAGAATTTCTTTATCAAGTTAAAAGATGGTTGCAGGTTTAATGTTGATAAAACAAAGTGAATCTTTTCAGAAATGTGTTGATGATTTTTTTACAGAAGGGAGATCCTGTCTCACTTTTGAAGAAACAGCTTGAAGAGAAAGAAAAGACCCTGCAAGAAGGTACCAGCATTGCTTGAGCCCTTGAATTAATTCATTTTAATTTTTGTCTGTATGCTTTAATTTACAAATGGAAAATACAAAAAGAATATTAAATACATAAACTTCCAGCTGCCAGAAAATTACCAAACCTATTGAGATTTCTGATATGATGATGTTTGATAGATTTCATTTCTTGATTATTTAATCTCAGTTATTAAGAATTTAAATCTATTTATTGAAACTTCAACACCACATGAAATTTTCTAGAACAACAGCTGGCTATGGCTGCTAACAAGAAGGTGAAGGAACTGCGCCAAGAGCTGTCTCAGGAGAAGCAGAATTTTACCAAGTACGAGAAAAGGATGTCCGAGAGTTTGACCTTGAAGCAGCAGGAGATGGATGCATTGCACGCGCGCATGCAGCAGTCGCATGAGCAACACATGATGGAAGTGGCAGCACTCAAGAACCAGTTGCAGAGAAAAGACCCTCAAGATCACCAGGTTTTACTGCAGGTACATTTATTATAAAAAGTTTATTTCTTTTTAAAACTCTTTTTTTTTAATAGAATGAAAGGAAAGAGAAAGATGCATTCTCTTGTAATGTCATAGAACTTTAATGAAGCATAGATAACAATTTAACTCCAGATTTCTGTATTATAATACTCTAAAAAGTTTTACGTTTTTTGATGCTCGAAAATGTAGGTATATGGTATGAATATATATTTCTTATTATTATTTTAGGAAAACCGTCAACTAAAAGAAGCATTGGCACAGTACGTACTTCCTAATTCTTGAAGAAGCTGAAATTTTTAGAATATTTTATTTTTCATTTAAGACCGTTCATGCAATATGCCTCCTTTTTTGTTCAACTAAGTGCAGATTTACAAAAATATTCAGTTAAGTTAGAGGAAGGCATGGAGAATTAATTGATCACTTTTATTGTAAAAATGCCCACTTGGAATAGATGTCATCTTTAAGGTGTTAATATTACAAATTGATTTTGAGCTATACAAAACCTATGTAAGGACAGATATTTTGATATTTGTTTCTTCCAGGGGCAGGATTGCAGCGGCCCCCGAGGTTCACAATTTGCAGTCCCAGCTGCAGATCATCCAGAACGAAATGGCAAACAATGTCCGCAAATTGACAGCAGCAGAAAATGGAAAACTAAATGCAGAATCTAAACTGAAACAGTATGAAGATCGTATTAAGTTCATGGAATCTAAGAAAGTGAGTGAGTTTTTCATGAGTGGTATAAGGTATTGAAATTCATTTAGTGTATATAGCTTTTTAATTTTTTTTTCTCAGTGGCATGATTTTTTTTATTGAGATGAGCATTATATTTTTCTTGGCTACGAAGACCAAAATCCAGTTGAGGCAGAAATGGTTAAAAATTGCTTGAAGTTATCCCACTTGCTGTCATGATAAATCATTTCTTCCTTTTAAAATGTGTGTTTTTTTTATAGGCTGAAGGTGATGCTGCCTTTAACAAGAGACTGACAGAGATGGCTGAAGAACTTCAGAAATCTGAGTCACGTTGCAAGAATGCCATGCAAGAATTGGATGCTGCCAAAGCTAGGACCCAAGGGGCAGAAAGCGAAGCAGCAAAGTTGCAAAGTCAGCTGCAGACTAAAACTGGAAGCGAAAGTCTTTTAACCAAGAAGAATGAAGAAGTTAGCAATCTGACATCACAGATAGAAAAACAAGCTTCAGAATTGAAGAACTTAACAGCAGAACTGGAGAAGCAGAAGGCAAAAAATAATGTGAGTATATTGCAGCTGTAAAATTGATTAGAATATAAACTTCATATGGCAGTGATTATGCCAGTTAAGTGCCTTAGTTGTACAGAGTGGAAAGTATATGTCTATAATTAATTAGGTGAAAATAGATATCGATGTTTAATTGAATTTTTTTTATTGATTCATAATTAAAGTTTCTTATTCTACCTTTTTTTTATTGGGGGGAGGGGGTGATTTGGGCAATTATTACTTATTTAGAGTGATTTGTTTTGAGTAATTATTTGATGATCTTATTTTGTGTGTATTTCATTCCATACCAGGAACTTAATTATTGTTTTGAAAAATCTGATGGTGGCGGTTTGACTGTCATTTACAGGAAGTTGAAGCTGAAAAGCAGGATCTGGCCGAGAGACTGTCTAAGACACAGCAGTCGGTGTCCGAGATGAGCGGGTTTCAGGGTGAACTGAATGCCAAGCTAGTAGAACTGCAGCAAGTTTCGTCAGAACTCGAACAACAGAAAACTGCTTATAATGTATGTCAGCTTTTTGTTGCAGATAAGCTTTTGCTGCTAAGATACTAACACGCATGTTATTCTGCTTTCTTTGTTTCAGGTGCTGCTGTCTTTAGAAAGATGGTTTATAGCATGACAAAATGCATAATTGCATATGCCATTAAACCGTTTATGCATACTGTGTAATTTTCTCATTCCTTCCTCCTTCCCTGATTACCCTCTCAATTGTTGAGTTGAGTTGAGTATTGTAAGTTGAGATTACATGCCTTTAACTGCTTGTAAGCATAGTCAAACCCTGGCATGCAAACTGCTCCATATAGTCATAAGTTCCAGACCCAATTACCTGTATCACACTCCAGAGACATGCATGTACTTTCCAGACTCACCTGATGTCTGTGAGCCGTCAATTTTGAGCTGTGCTATGCATAATTGTGTTAGTGTAATGTATATGCTTTTGATGCAGCTGTCAGTGAAAATGTGTCTTAAATTATGAAAGAGAAAACATTAATAAGCATATTGTTTGTGATATTCTTGGCCAAAGCTTATTCTGCTTATTTCTTGATGTTACCCAGATCCTCATTTAACCCAATAAATGTTTAGGCCTTACCCCTTTCTGAAGCAATAGCTTGCTAACAGTGAAGATTATATTGAGTTTGTTCTTAAAAGGAATAAGCATGCCGGTGCATTTTCTTTTAAATTAACTCAATGAAGAGTATTTTACTCATATATTATATATTAAATTATGTAATAATTCAGAAGTAAGAATAAATGCAAAGTCTTTTACTGTTGTTATTGATTGCTAAATTTCATCTGGATAGAATTTGGAGAGTGAGCGTCAGAAACTCGCTGCCTTGTTGACCAATGCAGAACAACAGGTGGCGACACTGCAGTCCTCACATGGCGAGACAAATGCCAATAGTGCACAGGTCAAAACTCTGCAAGAAGAATTGGACAAGCAGAAGAAAGCATATGATGTAAGCAGACATCTAGATTTTTTAAAGTATATGTCATTTCCCTCTGAAGAATATTTTAGTTCTGTGACTGCAGGTCTTTTTTAAAATGTAGCCTAGCTTAGAAAATGGCATAGTTGGGTTATATATGCCTAATAATGAGGAAATTGCCCAGAAATTAGGTTAAGATTTTTTATCTTCATGGACAGGAACTTTTGATAGAAAAGCAGAAGGCAGCAGAAGACCTACTGAATGTGCAGCAAGCTCTTGAAAAGCTCCAGGTTCTCCTGGCAGAACTGGAGGGCAAGGACAACGAAATGGTCCAGTTAAAGCAAGAGGTTGAAACCTTAAGGAAGTCTAATGAAGTGAGTCTGAGCCGTACTTCCAGGGCTTCAGGCTGCTGTATTTAATCACACTGCTATCTGCCTGTTGTGCACTAGTCATTATTCTGCTCATAATGCTAATTTGTTCTTCCAGGTTTTGAAGCATTGTAACTTTCAGCCTTACGCCTAACCATTCATTGCTGTCTTATCAGGCTTAATAAGCTATCTTGAATGTATCACTTTTACCAGTATAGAGTGCCTTTTTAGATGTCATTCAACTATTGCTTTCTCCAGACTTTCAGTGTCCTGTGTGAACTGCTGCACATTTTAAAATTATTCCAGATCCCGGCTGCCAGTTTCTCTGAACCCTTTGTCTTTTGTAACAGTATGCTTGGTGATGGAAATACAGACTTTGATAAACATCAACTTGCCTGGCTTGCTTATGTTTTAACATGTCTTTTGGGATGCACTTATAAATGTAATGACATTTCAAGAAAACTGTTGAGTCTGCATTTGATGTTTTTTATATTTAATCTATTTACATTTAATCAATGTCAGTGCATGAAACATAGTTCAGTACCCACATGAAGGATTTAACTGCATATCATATATGATTATTAGGAAGCTTATGTAAACTCTCAGGACAGCCAGTTAAGGCTTCCGCGGTGCAACACTTCATGCTATTTTTTTCTTAGTCTGGTTTTTCTGCAGGAATGCTGTTCATAATGCATCTTGTGTTTTCTGTTTTTATCAGCTTGGATAGCAGTCACATCTTGAGAAGAGTGAAAATTCAATTGTGCTTATAAATAGATAGAGGAAGCCTACCCTGTGTCATGCAAGATAGTGTTATACCTGCAATTGGGAACTTACTTTTGTCCTCAGGCTTCTTGTTTGCTAAGTGCTTTGAAGGATAGAAAATGAGCAAGCTAGTCATTTGTCTAAAGAAAATGAGAATTCTAGTAATGCAGTTATGAAATTTAAAAAAAAACACACTTTTACCATTGTGAGCTTACATATTTAAAAGAATTCAGGCAAATTAATAAAACTAAATTCATTCAACTGGATAAACTTTTTATGGGTAATCTATATTGCTTAAGGATCTTCAAAATGAGAAGACGAGAGCAGAAGATACCCTAAGTAAAGCAGAAAGTTCTCTGCAAGAGGCAAAGGTGAATGAGAACAATCTCACCAGCAAAGTGGAAGAAATGGAGAGGTTAAAACAAGAGATAGTCACACTGAAGAAAGACCAGGACGTAAGCTGAACATATTATTCAGTAGATAATTCTCTAGAAAAGCAGTTGTCTGGGGAGGCAGCTGTTGGAAGAGGAGGGGGGTGTTGCAATAATTTTATGAAACAACATTTTTGTCAGAGTTACCTTTTTTCAACTGGTTAAGCATCTTACTTTTTCAGATATGCAACATGTATGGAATAGCATGATTTTTTCAGCAGGAGTTATGTGTAGTGTAGTCATGATGCATTCAAAAATATTTCTTTTAGTTTTGAAGATGCTGCTGTAAGATCGTTAGCTGTTTTTTCATTCTTTTTCATATTATTATTATTATTATTATTATTATTATTTTTTTTTTTTTTTTTTTTTTTTTTTTTTTTTGTATTTGCTGAAATCTTATTTCCAATATTAAACTCATTTGGCAGGAATTAGTAGCAGAGAATGCTCAGTTAAGTGAAAGCCTTACCAAAGCAGAACAGTCTGTGGAAGAGAAGGCAGATCTCCGCTCCATGGTGATACAAGCAGAACTGAACAGGCTGACTGAAGAATTAGAAAAACAGAAACAAGCCAATGATGTAAGAAGGGTTTCTTTTAATAAGCATGTTACAGGACAACTATATTCACTTTATATGTCTTCAACAAACTAACATGGTTGCATGATTCCAGGGCCTGGTGGTTATGCATATGTATTAACTGCATGTAGGTTTACTTAACACCAAAGCATGGGTGACTATATTAGGAATGGGCTTTTTCTCAATCATCAGTATCTCTGTCAGAAATAAGCACCAACTGCATGGTTAAAGATATTGATTGTGGATATTTAGGGCAAGTTAATTGTGGGCTTCGTTGCATGTTTTATGATAAAACAATACAAGGAAAATAGCATGATACTGGGGCTAAATGGAAGATCAGTTGTTAAGTTGTTTATTGATAGCATGACTAACTGTTGTAATACGAGAGGGTGGAGAAAAGTCACACTGCCTTGAAAAAATTCATCTCTGTTTACAAACTGCTTTTGCATGATGTTTAGACACGAGCATGGAAACTTGAATATTAAGACACTGACTTTACTTGCTTAATGGAAGGACTGGGATAATAACACACTCTGGTGCTGTAGAAATCCTGTGTAACAATGTGGTTGTGGGATTAATTTCTTCTAGAATAGGTAAATATTGTCCCCAAAGTTAAACTTCCTGCATGGTGGCCTTTGGTATCTTTTCTTATTGTTCTTTCCAGTACCTGGTCATGGGGAGCAAATCTGTATATATGAAATTGTATGCTTGATTGAGTTGATGCTGGATACACTGCATTAAATGTATCATACCAGCTTCATATGTCTCATTCTGTCTGAAGTGTTACAAAGATGGATGTCTATCTGTCATTTCCAATTACTCTGTCAAACATTTCTACAGTGACAAAGACATAATAGATGCATTTCAAAATTATGTATTGAATTTT